TTCAAATCTACTCTATTTATAAAACAACATAAATGCCTTTAGGGTTTTCGATTTATCAGACAATTTACAGAATATTTTGGTACAACAAAACCTCTAAACATTTTATAACATCAAAAAATGCCGGATTTTTTATGTACTAGTGAGAGGCAGTGACTGGAAACAGAATCTACAAACTAGGGTAAGGGTCACTTTGCTCAGTTTTTCAGGTCACTTGCGTGGTGCAAGGAAAGTTATGGCTCCAAGTTTGGCTCCTAGATCAAACATGGAAAAGTGGGTAAGCAAATGAGGCTCCTAAAGTAGCCAACAAAACAAGGCAAGGGGCATATCTCAACTCCCTTTTGGTTTTTAATACCTTATTCCAGGCCACAAAAGATTCTCATTTCTTGGTATTCACAGCCATATCCTTCCCTTACCTGTGGAAGACCTTTAGAAAATTAAGCAGGTTCACTGTGGGAGAGCTGGATTTACTTTTCTCCATCAAAAGTGCTCAGATTCACATCCCCTGCCTAGGAACTTAAGCCCCAGTGCTGTTCATCATGTGGGGATGCTCCACTGTCTTTAGAGCAAATACCAGGGCCAGAGGCAAAGAGAAACTCCCTACAGGAACGGTCAGACACCAACCGGCAGGAGGGCAACCTTCCTTGACCAACAGCAGCATTTGTAAAGCAGGGCTATTGCACATCTAGTATAGCTTTTCTGAAAGATCCCCATTTATCTGGGATTTCAGATGGCAACTTGGTCAGCTACACCACCACAATTTGGAAAAGTCTGCTAATGTGCAATAAATCCCATACATTTCCATGGGTCATGTACTCCTCAATGGACACGCACCAAGTCTGGCACATCTAGGGAATTTTGGACTTCCTGGCCACTCCGTGCCCTTTCAGGCTGCACATATGCCACAGGTCTGGTGTTCTCAAGCATACTGTGCACAGATGTGTTAGGCATAACCAAGTAAAACAGTACATGCATGCAGTGTGGGGCTTATGGCTGACCACTGCATTGCCAGTTGTTTCTGTTTAGGATATGCCAGACAGAAATATAGAAAGCATCAAAGCATTAAGCACTGCAAGATTCAAAATCAGGCTTCCTCACTGCTATGTAGTAAACCAAACCACACGGTGAGACAGTCATTTCTCAGTCTCTCTTCTGCTCCCCTTGGTGGCTTTATTATTCTGCACAGCACAATGCAGCTTCAGCCAAAGAGGGTGAAGGCAGGTTCTTCCCAGCCTGGCCCTTAGGGGGATGGTGAGGCCAGGCTGCAGGAACAGAGGCAATGTGGGCTGAATCCTGCCGGGCAGGCTACTGTGGTGCTCACTAATACCTCAAAGCTAAACACTGTTAGGGGATTTTTTGTTTCTCCTGAGGCTGTTTCTTCAGAGCTGAATCTGGATGGGGATGCTCTGTCACCATCTGCCTGGCCAGATGGACTGGGGATACCCACACTGTTAGTGAGGTGAGTGCATCTGTGATAATAGCGTCAGTCAGCATGTCAGTGGCAGTGGGTACGTCTGTGATGGTACCGTGACATGGAGGCTAACTACATCTTCCTCTGCTGAGCAGAGCTGATTTACATCTTATTCATAAGAAACAGTTCAAAAATACGCTTTTTTTTTTTTTTTTTTTTTAAAAGAAAGAAGCTTATACCAACAGAGTACATAAGAACAGTCAATTTTCTTGGCTCTCATAATGAAATTCCTATGTATTTGTAAAAGTAATGTCAAAATAACAACCACAAAAAAAAAAAAAAGAAAAAAAGAAAAAATTTAAATTAGTGGAACAAAGCTTAAACGGAATACCAGGATTATGGAAGATTTCAAATTCTAAGGCACCCCACAGCCCACCTTTGGGTTTCTGACATGACTGCAATGCACCTGTGAGGATCAGATAGCTTATAATCCTTCCTCTCTATTTAGAGCCTTCCTGAAGCCTGCATCTTTTGTATTTACCACATGAAAGCCAGGCTGGATAGGGCTTTGAGCAACCTGGTCTAGTATAAGGTGTCCCTGCCTGTGGCAGTGGGGTTGAAACTAGATGATCTCTAAGGTCCTTTCTAACCCAAACTATTCTATGATTAAGAAATACAAGGAAAACTTTCTGTTGGTTGATAAATAATATTTAGAAGAAACTGTGGTGTTTACCTGCAGAGTATGAATCTTTCTCTACATGTAAAAATATTTGTACCTAATGTTATTTGCAGGTTTCAGTGAAAATTCTAATTCAGCAGAACATGAGAATAAAAAAACATGAGAAGGACAAAAATATATCCCGAGGTGGCTTTTCACTGGAAATACGGTCAGTAGGGGAACAGATGGCTGTTGGTCACTAGCTTGCATTCCCTGACTTGAACTTTACTATATAAATTAGTTTACTTACTGATAATATTACCAGAGGTTAAACTAATTATGTGTTAGAGACTGGCCAGATTAGGACTAAAACTCAGTGTTAAAGCAGGGAATGGATAAACAAGAGGTGGAAGCAGAGTCCAAAAGCCACCTTTGGAAAACTAAATCTGTACGCAGCATTCAGCAGAGGCAGCATGTGTATACAGAACTAACCACGACCTCATTCGTGAGAGGAGAGCTCTGTCAGACCTCCAAAGAGAAAAATAATGTTTGGCATGGGGAAGAATAGTGGTGTTCCTTCCATTCAGAGAAGAACAGGAGCGCATATTCTGCTCTATTCATCAAGTATGCTGTGAGATGGTCCTTTTAGCTGGAGATGCATCTTTTGTTACAGAGCGTTTTCACAGACTAAGCTGTTTTGAAAGAGAAGTAGTCTCTACCTGTTTTATCCCCACTCCCTCTAACTGGGGCAGCTAAGAATGGTGAACCTTAATTTTGACAAATATGACCCGAGGGTACAAAAGGATGCCAGAGTCAGGGAAAAGGAAAATAGTTAGGTGGATTAAGTAAGGTGAGCTCATGACATTTCTTCATAAACAGAAATGACAGGCTAGCTTGGGAACATAAAGTTTCCCTAAGCACACCTGACAGCAGAAGCTGACTGATCAAATAAGAGCAAATGCGTAGTGAAATGGACAATGACAGAATGACAAGTAAGTCCATCCTCTGGACTCAGCAAAACAAACCAAGTAAGGGGAAACACATGGGCCATGCTAAGGAAAGAGCAACAGCTCAAATCATCCCAGCTACTTGCAGAGGAGCTTGAGTGTGGTGAGGTGAACAAGAGACACTGAATTCAGAGAGATGTGACAGAAAGCATGGGCTTTACCTTCCTGGCACCATGCTCCTCACTCATGTTCCAGATGTGAGACCCATTCTGGTAGAATTACAAATGTGTTACATTTTATAAATGCTAAAACCCAAGCAATCAAAACCCTACTGCTGTTCAACGTTGAACATTTTTAGAATGACCTTTGTGCTGGCTGTCCACACACACGCACGGAAACATTCACATCTTTTTCATGCGCAGAAGCTTCCTACTATTTCTGCACTATATTCTTCCTAAACCCCAAACCACTCTATTTCCATAAGTTACTTTTTCATCCCTGGCTTCTTTTTTGTCAACCTTAATAGTCAAGAAGATGGATGTCAGGGTTTAAACATGCTTTTGAGGCATCCCTCCCACCCCAGCACAGAACAAAAGCTTGATGGAAACAGGAATCCTACATGATTTTCTCTCAACAAGCCACAACCAGCTCAACCCCTCAACAAGCCACAACCAGCTCAACCCCTCAACAAGTCACAACCAGTTCAAACTATTAATTCAGAGTACAAAATGGCTTTTCCAGGTTACCGTTAATACAGTATCAGTTCCTATTTGAAATGATAAATGTTAACTTTTACAGAAAATTACCAAAGGAGAAACTTTGACATTTTGGAAACCAGAATCTTAGAAAAGCCAATGCACTATTAATGTCTTGAACAAAATCTTTGGATCCCAATACTTTAAAACTTTTCTTGATGTCCATATTTTACAAACGAATTACGTTTAAAACCGGGGGATCGAAATAAGATTACTTAACGCACCGTGACCAACAAACTACCTGATACGCCAAACATATTACTGACTGCTCTCCTTGCAAAGGCACTTCAAGCACAGCAAGATCAAGCTCACCTCCATCACATTAAATTCAAGCACACTTCTATTCCAGACTCTCTACATCTAAAAAAAAAAGCCAGATCATTTTAACAAGACTCTACATAGTCTTGGTCACCCAAAGAGGGACTCCCAGGCAGAGGCACCATGGAAGAAAGCTGTAAGGCTGCTGCTGTAGGCTATCCTGTCATTGTCAGATTTTGATCCCCTTATGAAGCAGACACACAAAGTATAATTATAATCTTTCTCACAGATGTTATTGAAAGCACCAGGGAGCCAGACATGTAACTATTGATCCATGGGATGTATTTATCTTCAGACTATGCAGGTGTGTTTCAGAATTAACACCAATAACATTTTCTGAGTTCTCCAACAAAAAGCTGCCTCCAAGTTTAGAGATGACTGTGCCATAGAGTTAAGTCACTCATCCTACCACAGGTAACAAACGACCCAAGAATTAGGGGTAAGATTGAAGAATGGCAACTGATTTAGTACAAGATGATGTATGCTAAAATATATAGGTATACTCACACACTGCATGGAAGTTTTGCTCTATGTGCCTTGTCAAGGAGGAGTTTACACTGCTTTAAGTCAAATGATAAAGGGCAAACAACCAGGTTGACTTCAGGGGGGCTGAAAATAAACACAGCCTACATCTCAGCTTTCCAACAGGAGTGTGAACAATGTCATGAAGTAAACCCCCAAACTAATAGGAACTATTGCAAATATATAAAGAAATAACCACTGAAAATTGTTCCAACATGGATCAAATGCATAGATTTATGGGTGTAACAGAAAATACTGTCCTTTTGGAAAGTCAGTTAGTACTTCTTTTCACCCCTTTGGACCTGTCTGGTAATAACCAGCATATACATATATATACAGCATATACACACAAGTAGCTACACCTATTTTGTCTAAGTGTAATCCTGTCTTACCTGGCAAGTCCATATCGACGTGATAATGAAGCCATCATCTCTGAAGACATTGAAGATTTCAATGATCCCTCGTGAATAACCAAACACAGAGATACTAGCATCTGACACTGCCAAGTTAAATGTGAGGTAGTCAGTGGGCTGCAGAAGATGTCTTTGTTTATATAGAACAAAAATCACAATGCTATTTCCAAACCAGGACAGCCAACCTGGGAAAAAAAAAAGAAATCTATGAATCAAAAAGCAAATAAAGGAAGAAACAATTCAGTATGTAAATGCGTGATGTCTCTTCTTTTTGTTCGATTAGAAACATATTAAACCAGATTATCCATTGGAAAACCTATGCATGAAGCCTTTTTAAGTAGCTGGGTACATTTCAGAAGCAGAAATGAGTGAATAAATCTGGCAATAAAAGAGAATAAACATGAAGAGCTGCTGCTGCATTTGTCAAAGACCCACCATTTAAGGTCCTAGAGAAGTGTTTTTTTTCTCACCTAGATAGATGAAACTCATGAAAAGTAACAGCTGGGAAAAAAAAAAAGGAGGAAAGATGGGTAGAGCAGAGCAGAGACGACAAACAATCTGCAAAAAGCTGCAGTTGTTTAGGGGCATTGTATGTGACAAGGAACATGGAAAGTTCATACACATAGCCAGAGAGCTGCTTTACAACTCTCTCGAAGTGCAGCTTAATGCGATTAAGTTTCTTCTCTTAGAACACTCTATGATTTCCTTGCAGCAAAGCTGATAGGAATATTTTTCAGTTATACATCTGACAATTTATATGAAGAAAGCATTTACAACAGACCTTTTGAAAGCTTTAAAGTCCTTATTTATTTTTAAAGAAGGTCGTGTTTTCTCTTACTGTCCAGGAAGAGAGATGCTCGACATGTACATATCTAGTTACATGAAGAAAATGAAAGGGAGTTAACTGCAAACCTGGCAAGAGTCAGCCTATTTCTTGTTGGAGAGACCTAGAGTTTCCAAATGTGCAAGGCTATTGTCCCCCCATCAGTGCAAGACCTTGATAGTATGCGTCCTCCTTTTTCAAATGATATAGACATGCAGAATCAAATGACTTTCAACAAAATGTTTACTCATAAGCATCAGGCTCAGTATGGAAAATCGGGTATAGCCAGTGAAGGGGATGGTTCCAGGGTAGCTGCTAGAGTGGGGCAGCAGGTTGGGCAGCACCAGCTCCCCATTGTCCCTTATCTGTCACTGCTGACATAGGTGGCCTCACTTTACCTTGGTAACTTAGAGCAAAACACCATCTCCTTTGAGTGCCTGCAGCATAATGGCATTGCCCAGCGTCTCTGGATATTCAAAGGAGTTCACAAGATGAAAGATGGCTGATAGGTTTGATGCTGTAGCAAGAGGGCAGCCGCCTTACTTCAGGAAGCATTAACAACCCCGTATGCCAGGAACCCTGTGGTTTGCAGCTTGGCTGCCTCAGCTTGGAAGGGAGGGGAGGAAACATAATTTACTAAAGAGCTTTCGAACTGGGAAGAGATGACGTGTTGGCATGTGGTATTAATCAGAAATAGTCTCTGGTGTAATGATACACTGAAATACATACATATATTTTATATATATCTCATTATAAGGATAAGATCAACAATAATAAATTCAACTTATTCTGGCCACCAGGTGACAATGTTTCTTAATCAAATCTCATCTCAAATGGCTGTGTGCACTTTAAGTCAGCAATTGTTTCTGACTTCTGTCTGAGTCTAGGTATTATAAATAGGCAGAGCAGGGCACTGCGGGATGGCAGCTTTGAGAACGCATTAGTTTGCAGTGCAGATATGATGGTTTCATTGCTTGCGTATGTCAGCTCCACCTTCTGTAAAGTAAGACAGTTTTCAAGGCAGTAGGCATGGAAACATTTTCCCTGTCAATATGAAGACAAGGTGCTTTTAAAATGGCAGACAAAATAAAATGGCATCTCCTCTGTAAATAGCAAAGTTTTGTCAACACAGTGTATTGGATAAGAGGGCTACTCTTACAGCGTAAGACACCTGCACCTCCTGGGAACTTGCAGAGCCAATTGCCCCAGCCTGGAGGGTAAGGGAGCTTTCACTCACAGTATCTTAAGGAAGAAATTAAGCAAAACATCATGTAAAAACACAATATATTTTTTAGATGGAGGTGACAGAGACACGGTATTTGTGAAAAATCTTTAGAACTACATTCACACACTGAGGTTGGGGATGATGGAAGCATTGAGGGAGATAAGTTTACAGAGCAAGTATGATTTCTGCAGGTAGGCACAATCTTTTCAGGTGGAGAACCAGCACTGGCATATCCAGTCCCTAAAATGTCAGATCTGTCTGGGTAGGAGACCATATTAATACTGTGATAAGAAACCTGGAGGAACCCAATCCTCAGTAAATTGCAGAGTAACAAAACCAGTGGTCCGACCAAAAGAACCAAATGTCTACCCTCCCCCAAACCGTAACATCACAACAGGTAAAAAATTGAAAGTGCCATGCAGAGGAAGCCCAGCAATAGCTCTGACACTCTCAGCGAGGGCAGGGATCTCTTCAACTGCTTTACAGGTGTTATGTGCCTCAGAGTAGATCACAGGCAGATAAGGAGCCCAGAGAGAAACCTCTGGATTTTGAAGTGCTGTAAGGCCTTGCTATGATCAGGTGGCATCTTGAAACAGCGGATAGAAAGGGAAGAGCTGAGGGACCTCGTTTCATTTTTCTTATTTGCAAGCTGCCACTCACAAGAGTATACAATAAAAAAATAAAACCCAGACCCCAAATCTAACCCCAGCATCCTAAGGCAATCCTGGTGAGAAAGGACAGGGTCCAACAGAGGTCAAAATGTGGCTGAGAGAGAAAAAATAGCAGAAAGAAGAAACTGAACACTTCCAGCTGACATAAGGTTCAGAGAGGAATCACCACATTTTCTTCATAAGCTGTAACGCTGTCTGATATGGCTGCTCATCAAGAGATGCTGGACCTTCTGAAGTGGCAAAACACAGATCATGTATAATTACTGTAGTTTTTTAACACAGGACAGGACTGAGAACAGCTACTATGAGACTGGCAGTATCATAGAATCACAGGATGGTTTGGGTTGGAAGGGACCTTAAAAGATCATTCAGTTCCAACCCCCTGCCATGGGCAGGGACACCTTCCACTAGGCCAGGTTGCTCAAAGCCCTGCCGATCCTGGCCTTCAGCTCTGCCAGGGATGGGGCACCCACCGCTTCTCTGGGCAACCTCTTCAGCGTCTCACTATCCTCATAATAAAGAATCTTTTCCTAATAGCTAATCTAAAACTCCCCTCTTTCAGTTTAAAGCCATTCACCCTTTTATTATCCCTGTATGCCCTTGTAAAAAGTCCCTCTCCAGATTTTTGTACAGGCCCTCATTAGTGTTGAAAGGCTACTCTAAGATACCCCCTGAGCTTTCCCTTCTCCAAGCTGAAGAAGCCTAGGTCTCTCAGCCTGTCTTCACAGGAGAGGTGCTCCAGCTCTCCAACCATCAATTAAATGAGTGTTGATAAATGCTAAACATTGAACATCTAAGGAATAACCTTTCTCCTTTGACACCACAGAAAAGTACTTGGTATTACATTTCAGACATCAGGACTTAGAAGAAATAGGATGGACAGCAATATTAAAAATGTTGTATTGCCCTTATATAATTCAGTAGTAATCCTTGTCCTAGAATAATACACCCTAATAAAGCGTTTAAATCAACAGATGTTGCAAGTGCTCCACAAAGGAAGTTGGTGCTGTTACCCATGCTTTTTAGGGGAGGCACAGGAAGCCTGCCAAACAAGCTGGTGGTAGTCAGGAACCAAAACCCTATCAAACAAAGTCCTCTATCTGCATGCTGTCTGCCAACCTGAGCAAAGAAAACACTGACAAGAGTGTCTGGGGATATTAAAAATCTTTCTGATGGAAGTGACTGAGAACAGAGATTGTTTAACTTTAGGAATAGCTAAGAGGGAGTACAACAGGTTTACAAAGGTTTCTGCCAAATCACTCCATACTGAGCATCCATTCCCCTATTTTTCTCTCATATACCTGAGATGGTATTTGAACGAAAAATAAGCACCCAAGGATGCATGCAACTTTATCGTTAACATTCAATTTATGTTTTGCAGAGTTAAATTTGATACAAGGGAACTGATAACTCCAAGCCAGTCAACCAATAGATGGCTGTGTCTGTGCCCAGATAAGATAGGTTATTCTTATTAGACATTGTTGCATGGTCTTTACTTGTAAAGCCTAGCAAGAATGAATTAGAAAAATGGGTTTTATGACACACCCATCAGCAGTTTAAAATATACAGGGACCTTTAAGTGGACAATCTCAATAAATGAGGGCAAAAGGTGAAGGCTCGGTGTTACAAGACAAGCTATGCTTTCCCTTCAGCAAATAACTTTATCTCTAGGACAGAAATTGGATTGAGCATCTATATATAGAGCAGGCATGAATGAAGTGAATTACTGATTTAACTACCTACACACAAGCATTAATGTCTATCTGAAGAGGCCTGTTGTAAATGATTTTCAGACTAGAAATCTTTATTTAAAACAGGGATAAAATCTAGGGAATTTGCAAAGCTGTCATTAACTACTGCAACTGTGAAGTGAACCTGTTCCATTTTCAGTCTTCACTGCTAATTATACATACACATTATCTTATCCAGGGCATATTGCCCATTTTGGCAAGAAGGAGAAGAGTCATCATGTTTTAGACTTGACAAAGTGTGGAGAGATTATTTGTTCAATATAGGCAATATTATTGGTATATGAATGCTTTGTGACTAGCTTGTTTCCTTTCCCACCTTCTCAGATTTATCTGGCAAGCAATGTCCCAAAATAGCACTCATTCTGTCACTTGTCAAATAATAGTTTACTATTGCGATGTGGAAACATGCAATTTAAAAGCATCTTTGGGTCTTGCTTGTTCCAGTTTTCTAATGGGATTGGTAATGCTCTCAGTGTTGTTTGCTGATATAAGCACTCACAAAAAGTCAAAATCTGTTCTCTAATAAATTATCTCCTACTGACTTAAAGTTTCCTTTTACGCCAAGCATTCACTCTAACAGTTCCAGTTAACTGTGAAAATAGAGGAAATGAGCACAGAACAAATTGCATATATATGCAGAAATGAATGATTTATTTGAGAATTCCTATCAATAATTATGAAGAAGAAACATTTAACTTTTTCCCCCAGGTCTATGTTTGACTTAGCTAGCAGCTGTAGACAGAACTTTTAACGTCACACCTAATAATTTAAACTATACAAGGATTTTCCATGGTACCAGGCCACCCAGGGCTTAGGCAAAAAGATGAAATGCTAGCAGTAGGAGGAGCTCTCTTTTGTCTGTCAAAGACAGTTCTGAGCTCATGGAAGGGAAGGGTGAAAACACAGTGTTGCCTTCAGAAAGGGGATTCTGAGGCAGCTGACCTAAACCAGTAGCTGCTGTCACTTGCAGTTAGCCCCTCTAAGAGCACTATGATGCTCATGGCTTGGGGATTGGCATTGCATTTTCCCCCCACTTTGCTGATCCCCTGGCCAAAGCATTAGCAAGGAGAACGACGAAATGGTGAGCTGGGTGCCAAGAAGTATTGCAGTGATTTCAAAATCCATCAGCAGTTGCAAAAAGCACTCGAGCACTTTGATGCTGGTTTGCTTGTGACATTAGCCTGTGATATCTTTTCCAGCACAGGCTTTGAGCTCAGGTGTCCATGCAGTATGCTGAGGACCCTCCTGTTTGGATCTGTTATAGCCTGCCTGGAGTATGTTGTATGCCACACACATCAGTGTCTTGTCTGTCCCATATGACATCTGCCCTACTTATGACACGAGAATTCCAGAAGGGGACATGTAAAGAGGCCTCATGTCAGCAAAAGGTGTTAGATCACGGCTCTTGGATAGTCATGCCACCTGTAAAGATGTGCCACTGTGGGAAGACTTGGCCAAAACCCCGAAAGTTTGCTTGGACTTTATCTTGAGAAGGTGAAGAGATTCAGAGGAACTCCATCTTCTGGGTAAGTGTTAACACCAACCACATACAGCCCTTTGGTGCTGGAAACGTACATTGAAATTCACAAAAAAATGCACTGGTGTACTTAAATTCAAAAGAGAAGAAAACATGTAGCAGTGTCAGAAGTGTAATCACTGAAACTGTTTTCCAAGGCAACAAAAAACCCAAACATATTAAATATGAACATCTTTGGGACTTTGTATAAGGAAGTACCCATCAAATACTGCAAATGCAGATTGTCTTTCCACATCCTTAAGGAAATGCAGGTATGAGAAGGTAACACGCAGAATGGCCTTTGGTCTCTACTGCCAGAAAGGCAAAAGGGCGTCTGTGTAACAGAGCACTTTGGTCTGCTACATATCTGCTCCCCAGATAGACTGAGGTATTGGTGTACACAAAACTAACAGCTGGAAATTGTTATGGTTGGTGCTTGCGGAAGTGCGGCAGTAGAACTTTGAAGAGTAAAAGACGTGAGGACTGGTTACATACACTGCACAAGAACTGCAACTTGAGTCTTGCATCTAGAGGTAAGTTTCAAGAATAGCAGGTATAATATGCCAAGCACTTGTAAGCTTGCCAGAAGGATCTGTAGCAATTAAAACCTAACAAACAACCTAAAAGCTCAGGCACGTAGGTACTTTAAAAAGTATTTGCTAGGTGTGGAACCATTAGGAAGCAGCAATCACCTCTGTTGGTCAATTGATATAGAAGGATTTTGAACTACCAGTGTGATGCAGAGGTGTCCTGGGTTCATCAGTAGCAGTCATTTTTCCCCTTCTTACTAGCTGGTACACTGCTGTGGTTTTGACTTTCAGCCTGAGAACAGCACTGATAATACCGATGTTTTTAGTTGCTGCTCAGTAATGTTTACTCCAACCGAGGACTTTGTGAGTCTCATGCTCTGCCAGGGAAGAGAGGAAGCCAGGAGGAAGCAGAGACATGACACCTGACCCAAACTAGCCAAAGGGGTATTCCATACCACAGCACGTCATGCCCAGTATATAAACCGGGGGCAGTTACCTGGAAGGGCTAGATCACTGATTGGGTAGGACTGGGTATTGGTCAGTGGGTGGTGAGCAGTTGTATTCTCTTCCCTTGTTATTTCCTTTATCATTACTATTACTGGTGGTAGCAGCAGTGATTTGTGTTATACCTTAGTTACTAAACTGTTCTTATCTCAACCCGTGGGAGCTATATTCTTTCGATTCTCTTCCCCATCCCTCCGGGAGCAGAGGGATGAATAAGGTGGGGAGTGAGCAAGCGGCTGGGTTTAAACTATGACAAGAGGCAACACTAAGAGGCTTCAGTAGAGCTGGGGAAGTGTAAATACTGTGAATGGCAATGGTAAGACCTTGCCTGGGTGCAGCATTCAGCCCTGGCTATAAGTTAAAAAAAAAAAGGTGTCCAGGATGTAAAAGACAGTGTAAAAGGTGATAGGCTGGGATGACAGGGGAAAAGATATCAATATTATGGCAGGAGCTAAATAAATTATATGTATAGTAAATATGTATAATTATATATAAATAAATTATTATTTAAAAAAACCCTAGACAACCAAACTAAAAACCAACAACCCTTGCTTATAATATAGGAATGCAAAGGTTGAATACAGGGTATGATTGCTCCTTCAGGAAAACAGATTGGCTGTAGGTGTTGACTGAAGGCAAAAAAAAAAAAAAAAAAGGAAAAAAAAATGAATGGAGAGACAAAACCAGTATAAATTTGATGTGATCACTTTAGCTAAGTGTATATGGAAAGGCTCCTACCCAACAGAGAAACAAAATCAGGAACAGGCTGTCAATTGGAAAAGTGGTAGCAACACCAAAGGAACCCTAGCCAGTTAAATGACAGAGCATAATAGGTTCGTAAATGAGATTATATATTGCCACAGCAGGCGACTGGCCTTGCTGACCTAAGATGTTCCTTATAGTCTTAAGTGCAACTGATTAATTCTTTAGCTGATGCTGCAGCCATTTCCCAGCCATTCATGAAGGGATACGCAGATGTGAACAGACTGGGGATAAATTGGAACAAGTCTGATTTATCTTATGGCCACTCTTCTAATTAAGTCTCCTAAGATAGAAGCCATATATTTTTCTACTAGAATCTCTGTTTTTATTCTAAACACAACCTTTTCCTCACTGGTTCGTATAGACAAAAAGAATCTCATGTAAACTTATTACAACACTTAGCATTTTATATTGTAACTTACATAGACCTTTCTCAAGGACAAGCTGAGCTAGTAAGCTACTTGAAATATGTAATAAGCTAAGAAAAAAACCTGTTTAGATCAATCATTTAAAAACTGAAATATTTTTGTATATGTTCCTTAGAAGAACAGATTTAATAATTCTTACATTTTCTTGTATTTTCCTGTGAGGAAAAATGCTGGGAATTTTGATTACCTAGCAACCATGCATTCTTTGGAATTTCATAAAGTTTCCTTGTAGCCTACAGTGAGTCAGCCCCACATAGACAATATCTAAACAAACAAGTCAAAATTGCGTTGGGATCAAGGTGAGTTCATATTGGGTGCCATTTTCAAACCCTTATCATACGCTTACAATAGCTGCGCTGTAGAAGGACCAAAGTAAACACACGGTACTGTGGCTGCTAACACAGGATAATGTTCTAGTATGTGGATCTTTCACAGATCCTGCTTGAAAAAGTTAATTTCAATGTGTATCAAATGTTTAAATTAAGAGCAGTACAAATAGTTAAAAAATGTTGAAAACAGTTAAAAAGAAGTTGAAAATACAGAACCATACTTTCTGTCTCTGAAGGGGGTAATTGTAGGATGCCAGCTAACCTTCAGCAGTCAAAATTGGAAATCACGGAACATTAACTCAGTGCTACCAAGACACGAGAAGACACAGTAGTATCACATACTTCTGGTAAGGTACTTTAAAAATCTTCCTACATATTAAGTTTAGTGAACATTAAAGTTTACAGGCTTGACTACTCTTTTTTTCCCCTCAAGATTTCTACATTGGTTACAAATCTCCTTTTCACAAAAGAAAGCTGTACCTCTGTTGTCTTCTAATAGCTGACGAGTTGCATTTTCTAACATCCTGTTTTGTTAGGGATGGAACCCAAATGAATCACTTTGAACTTGACACCAAACTCTAGGAGCTTCCTTCCACACCCAAGCTGAGAACATACCTAAAGCCAGTAGGTAGAAACCTATGATAGTCTCTCCTTGCTCTGTTACAGCTGCCTCTCTGCTCAGGAAACTGATGTTGTTGTTCCTCCAGGGTGCCTGTGAAGAAAACTGGACAGACATTTTCAGCGGAGATTGTGACTCAGAAATTGCCCTTTCTTCAGTGTGTCCTGGTGAAATAAAATGGCTCCAGCCTTTTCCTCAGTTTCTGCTCCCTGTACTGAAGAGAGCTCTTCAGTGAGACTAATGATCTAAAGAAGGAAATCTCAAGGGACAGGAGCTTTGCAGCCTTCTGACCTGTTCTTCACTAATCCTATCTATTAATACAGTCTGTGAATCTGTGGCCAGCCGAAGACAGCAGATTTCCTTATATCCTTATTACAGCTACATGCAGAAACCTTTAATGATGAGTGTGTATCTGACAAAAAGAAAACTTGCTTTAAAACAGGGCAATACCACATAAACTACAGGCTCACAGGGACACCCACAAACGGGGAGCATATCGGTATGTTGCCAAAAAGCAGTACTTTTGTCTTTTTGCTTTCACAGAAGACCAGCAGGGGTTTAGTTCAAATGAAATTAATGAAAAATCTTACACTGATAAAAAAAAAAAAAAGAAAGAGGAAAGTGGCACAGTAAAAAACTGCAGGGAGGGATCACTGCCTGATAAAGTGACTTTAATGTAGCAGAAACAATCAGCTATGAAGTTACTTTACCAGCAGGATAGTTGCTAATTGAAAAAGAAGGGAAGATAATTTCCAGTACAGCTTGAAAGAAAATAAAGTAAGTTTTTTGAATTGTATTTTTAGACTGCTAAGCACCCTCCAATCTAGCGTGTGCCAAGTAAAGTTGGATTTAACAACACTGTTCTAAAAAATGGGAAGCCCTATTATTGAAGAGACATATCACATGTGATTTAAGTGAGTCAGTTTGGAGTATTTGTAGTCTTTACTGAGGCGGTCATGATTGTATTTCAGATATGGCCTCTGTCACCAGTCAGGCTGTAGTCATCATTAAAACATTTGAGACTGAATTAATTCAACTGAGGCAGCAAAGCATTCCTGGTGAGCAACAGAGTCTTGGCTGCGCTGACGTCCCTGTGTGCCTCTTTGTGCCCAACCATCTTGTACTTTCCCACCCCAGGGCAGCAAATCGGCACCTGTGGTGGCACCCAGCTGAAGGAAGCAAAGCACCCCACTGGGAATCTCACTGGGCTGGTTTCATCCCTCCTGAGGCAGATTGATCCCCTCCTATCAAGCTTTCTCTATGTTTGTTATGGTAGCCTCAACATGAGACAGGGAAATAAAGGCGATGTGACAAGAATAAAAGGTGAGAGCAATTCTTTACAGCGAGAAGGAGAAATAACCTCATTGTAGTGAAAGACATTAACCTTCCAGCTAATGGTGAGGACAGGGACTCACTTCACTGAAGTCCCTTGCAAGGGTGCTAGGCTTGACTAGTCCCTGACTATCTTGCTCTTCTACCAGTCACTGGAACACTGCACTCTGTTTCTCGAACCTAAAGTCTGCAGCATGGCTCTGGCAGCTCCCACAGATCCCATTTAAGCAGCCAAACGGTGTGATTCTCCTATTCACTAGCCACAGCCCACCTCTTGCTGACTTTCTGTAGAGACCTCTTCCTATGTCTGTCTACAGGCAGCTGGAGTTTCACCCTAACGAGCCTCCTAAACCACACTGCTTATCAGACTGTGACAGAGTGACCTGGGACTTACCCTGTGGCAGGTTTCTACACCACAGGCAGTGCTGATGGTAGAGCATCCTTGCTGATCACTTACCCTTATGCACAAACAGTTTCTCCATGGCATCTGGCACAGGTCAAAAGTCTGAGTTCGGCCTGTTGTCACACAAATGGCAGTGCTCATGGCTTTGATTAGACAGGGACGGAGACAACCAGCAGAGAGTATTTTTCATGCAAGCCATTCAAGGAAACTGCATGATCTACATACGTGTGACCTTTAGGCACAAGCACTTTAAATGATAATAAAGTAACAATGATAATTATTTCCTTTTTGCTACAGTAAAAGACAAATCATACTATTTGCCTTGAACTCCTGAACTTTTATTACTTTTCCCAGCTACATGTTTCTTTCATATAAACACCGCAGCTCCATGGACACTTCAACTTTCCGTTTAAATGAGAAAGTCTTCTGCCAAGCTTTGCGCATGTTAATAATAATGAGATGAGAACAAACAAACAGAGACTTTGGATATCAAGGAAAGGAAAAATAAATCAGGATGAAATGTTCTCCTTGGTCAAGCAACGCTTTTGATGATTTCCCCCCTACCCCCTTCTTCACACACTTGGCCTGCTTGCAGTTTTCTCCTTAACCCACTCCCTCCTGTGGCATCCTTCAATAAGGGGCAGATACTTTACAAACTCCTGTGGTTTGTTTCATGTGTCCACAGGTCACTGTGCCTCCAAATGAGAGGAAAGCTCCCTCTGCACGGTACAGTCACTTCATTTCATGTCTCTCAGTGCTTTGGTGTTGACCAATTCACTGGCCTCACTGAGATTATCCCTGAGTGCCTCTATCATCTTTGTGAAGTGCTTTGGAAAGATTAGAGCAGTATATGCTGCAGGCAGTTTCATAAAAAGGAGAAGAAAACTACGCCACTGTGGTGATAGGGAAAAATTACTGTGTTCAACACAGCTGTGGGAAGGCAACTGAAAAAATTATTTGGACATGAAAGGACCCTGAAGTGCCCCTTTCCTAAATCTGTAGGAGCTACATGTTGGCTCCACAGAAGGGACAGGAGCTGTGCAAACATGCCTTGGGAGACTGGTACAGTGATCCTGCTATCTGCTACCTCTGCTTGCCCAAACCTCTCATGGGTGTGTTTCTCCCCAGTGCAACCTGCCCGCCATCAGCTGCAGGAAAAGAAGTTGCTGTAGTGCCCAACACCTGCCCATAAAGGCTTTCTCTCAGCCAGTGATCCTATCCCATGCCAAGTCAGGCAGGGGGCACACAGGTCTGGGAATGGCACAACCAGCACAAGTGGACTAGGGTCAACTGTGCACACTATCCTGCCGGCTGAAACCTGACCTCACAAGGCAGAATGTGGATTTTAATACCATCAGTAAGCCACATTGTCAAGTTCAACAGAAGCTGAAACTTCTATGCTATGTATAGGAGAATATAAGATATTAATACTTGTGGCTACACTTGAGGCTTTACTGCAGCTGTTAGTGGAAGGTTAATGAAGGAAAAAACCCTCCAAAGCCACCAATACGTCAGCATACATGATTAAAGTGAGTGATGAAATGACTAGGTTATGACACAACAGGTTAATAAAGCCCATTTTATGGACACTGCAAACCGACAAATGGTCTCTGAGGCTACAGGCAAAGCCAATTTAGAGCGGATATAAGCTGGCAGGTAGCTCCTATTTGGGCTGCTAAAAATGTGCAGCAGCCTGTTAATCCCTATCCAACCCTCTAGACGCTTTCAAAGTGACATATATACCAGCACAGCAAGGCAAGTATCACAGCGGCATTAACTGATACAGTTTACTTGATACAGTACAGTTACATCAGAGTTCAGTTTACCAACTGCTCCCATTACATCATAACATAAAAATCCCAAGAATTAACATTTGTATGTGACAGAGAACATATGATTTATGTTTGTAACAAGCACCTGCTTTCCCAGAGGACAACCGAGAATGTGGCAGTTGCCAAAGAAATGATTTTGTTAGAAACGTGGTGTAAGTTCTTACAGTGCTATTTTTGCATGATACCTGTTACACATGGATTAAGAAAGGGACAAAAGAGGGAGGAGGTAAAAGGAAAAACTTGCAGAAGGTATGGGTTACAATAAACCATAAGCAAATAGAAATCTATTTTGTGGAATAAAAACACATTTTTGTCACTGGAAGGCATAAAATTTCATGAAATTTTGCAGAAATATGAATGGGGATTTCAAGGAAAATCCAACAGTAAATTAGTAGGAACATCTCTACATAGATATACCCTTTTTAAATTTTCATTTCTACTTCACATTTTTCATTAGACTATTCACTATAATAAAAAAGCTGTCAATATCTAACAAGACATCGCTTAGTCTCGCAAAGAATAATCATGCAATGATGAGTTATGCCTGTAGATTTCATTGAGGTAGTCAGAAAATGCATTTCATAATAGTAACGGGTGATTTTTCCAAAATCAGATCTCATGCTTGTTCACTGTTTCCGAGAAAATAGATTTGTTGAAATGATTTGCACAGTGGCTCTTCTAACACTCACTGAAATAAAAGAAAAAACTCCTGCAAACAAATCAGGTCAGTAATGCCTAAAACATGTCAGCCTGGAGAAGAGAAGGCTGCGTGGAGACCTCATAGCAGCCTTCCAGTATCTGAAGGGAGCCTACAGGGATGCTGGGGAGGGACTCTTCATTAAGGACTGTAGTGATAGGACAAGGGGTAATGGGTCAAAACTTAAACAGGGGAAGTTTAGATTGGATATAAGGAGGAAATTCTTTACTGTTAGGGTGATGAGGCACTGGAATGGGTTGCCCAGGGAGGCTGTGAATGCTCCACCCCTGTCAATGTTCAAGACCAGGTTGGACAAGGACTTGGATGACATGGTTTAGTGTGAGGTGTCCCTGCCCATGGCAGGGGGGTTGGAACTTGATCTTAAGGTCCTTTCCAACACTAACTATTCTACGATTCTATCATTCTATGAATGAGTGAGATTGACTATTCTAGGTGCATAACACTTAGAATAGCTCACCTGTAAACTCTCTTGTTGCAAATGTTCACCTGATGGTAACATAGGAGCCTGCAATTTTATAGCAGAAAACCACATCTGGAATATTTGAATTGAAGAGTCATCATAATGTGAAATGTGCACAACCATTAATGTTTCAAATCATGCCCATTTGACCCTGGGCTGTTCCTTTGCTGTGACATTTTAGCAGGAAAACAAATGGACTCAATGCATTCTCTAGCTGAATATCCAAACAGCATTTCGGCTCTTGTGTTAGGTTACTTGACAACTTCAGCTAAAGAAATTATTACATCATGTAATTAATATATTGTAAAATCTATGCTTCTGCCATGACATTAATGGAGTTTAGCCTACTCTCTTTCATACTTTACTCTCATTCTCATCAATCCTGAAAGCTAATGTTTC